ATGTTAATCAGCAGCAAGTACAGAATGATAATCTGCAGCTGTGTTTAATGGTAAAATTCAAGCTTGAAAATGAAATATTAGGCTACCTTTATTGTTCTGTGTCATTTAGTCACCCCTTAACAGTTTAAGTGACTATTGTGATTTTCCATGCAAACAGGTGACAACCCAAGGTGCCATTTGGGAAATGCCTTAACGATTCAGATCCTTTAGTGGATCTCATAGTTTTATCCCCAAACGTTTTATTATGAAAATGAAGAGAAGTTGAAAAAAAGAGGAAAACCCATACACCCGATCTATTAACATCCTGATATTCTTGTTTATCACATTATGTATCCAATCCCCTCCCCACTCATCAGTTCTCCCTGCACCCAGGGAGCTGTACAGGGTTAGCTAGCCCGAGGTGGCTTTCAAGTGGTGATTTCAAAAGTGCACATTTTCAGCTTAAGCTTCCGAAAAAAATATGGGGGTATTTCTTTCTTTCCCCGATTTCTGGGATAGGGGAGGCGGGCTCCCGGAGCAAGTACCGAATGATAATCTGCTGCTGTGTCTAAGAATTCAAGCTTGAAAATGAAATATTAGGCGACCTTTAGTCATTCAGTCACTTAAACTGCTAAGGGGTGACTAAATGACACAAGAACTCTAGGCGCCGCAGCACCCTGCGCGCCAGCTGCGCAAGCAGTCAGCTCTAGTGTCCACCAGGCCGGAGGGCGGGGCACCAAGGGCGGCACCTGGGCTGGCGGCGCCGGGCGGCGGAAACCGGAGGCCCTGCGGCCACACGCGGGCGACAGGCGCTGAGCGCGGGAGCGGGGCCGCTACGTGCGCGGGGAGCGCGGGGCTGCGCTCGTGTGCGCTCGCCGCCGCCGCCGCGCGCCTTTGAGTCAGCAAACTCCGCCGCTGGCCCGCCGGCTGGTGCGATCTGCCCAGCCCTGCCGGGAGGAGCCGCCCGTAAGTGACAGGAGACCTGCCGCGGAGGCCTCCCCAGCTCCGGGAGTGGGCACCTCGGCCGGGGGACTAGCCGACCGCCCCTTCTTTCCCACAGGAAGACGTGGGGCCCTTCCAGCTGCGCGCAGGTGCCGACTCCTCGCGGGCTGGGAGGAGGTTTGAGTCCCCTGGGGTTGGAGCCCGGGAGCTGCCTCCTTTCCATGTGAGATGTGCTGGGGTGGAAGAAATGGTTGACTTGTAACTAGGGGAGGTAGATGGGATGAGTTGAACTAAAGATTGGTGCCCAAAAAGAACCCCCGGGAGAGGGCGGGGCAGAGGTGGAATCTCCGATTCCACATTAGTGCTGTGGCATCCTCCACCTGCCCGGGTTTGGGTTGGTATTTTTGTTTTCTTTTTTAATGCAGGAAAAGATAGCGTTGAGTTTAGAAATCTGGAGGGGTAGGCAAGATTTTTTTTTTTTTTCCGTGGGATTGTGGGATTGATGGAAAAGGCCGGAGAGAAAATCTACATTGTCAGGTTTGGTGACACAGGAAAGCAACAGCCTGTTTTTCAGTTCTGGATGCATCATACTTTTAAAATTACACGGATTATTGAGGGGGATGGTCGCAGAATGTAGAGCAACATGTCCTGTTTGAAAGGAAGGGCTTTTATTTCTGCAAAGCACATTTATATGTAAGAATAATGGAATCAGAAATTGAGAGCAGGAGGGAGGTTTCACGTGATCTCCATCAAACCTATCATTGTACTGAAGGAGAAACTAAGGTCTGGGAGGAAAGTGCAGGGTCAGCCAAGTGGGAGCAGAAGGAGGCCCAGAACCTGGTGGGCTTCCGACTTCCACTCCAGAGTTCTGCCTGCCCCACCCTGTTTTGGGAGCAGTGGGCCCAGGGTTTGGAATGCAGACACTCTGTGCTTTTTTTCCTGGGATGTGCTAGTTCCTGTGGGATATGGGGTCCCAGTGACATGGGACTCTTCCAACCATTGATCCACCTCTGATAGGGCTTCTGAATGGGAGAATGGAGGTGAGATTGAGGTGTCTGCCATCACTTCCAGTGACGCTTATTCCTAAGGCAGGTGTATAGCTGGACCTTGATTGATTGTGGTGCTGGGGATGGATCCTAGGCCTTTGAGCATGCTAAGCAAGTGCTCTATTGCTCCACCCTCCAGACCCCCTTTATTTAAAGGAGGGGTTGACTTGAGATTGACTGATAGGGCAGCCTTGAATAAAGATTGAAAAGTAAAATATACTTAGAAATATATAAATATATGGAAATGTGAAATTATGATTAGCAACGACTTCAGTTTAACTGATCATCTTGTTTCTTCTGCCAGTCCATTTTGTTTTCACTTTGCAGTTAAAGAAATCCGTTTAGCTCAGGCTGACCCTGCATTTCAAGGAGGTGGCTCTTGGTGGTGGTGATGAGTCTCTTGCCTGTGACATGTTGCTTCTCTCACCACTGCTTTGGGTTGTGCTGCCCACTTCCTCTTATTTTACTATTGAGGAGTCCAAAAAATAAAAATAAACAACTTCATTGTTTGCCAAATGAAAATGTTAATTCAAGAGAAACATTTGTGTTCTACTACAAAAACTTCCACTTGATTTTAGAGCACTCTTGATCTTTCCACAGACCCAGCATTACATTACTTTCATTTTAAGGATTTATTTTGCTAGTTAAGTCATTGTTTCTTTTTCTTTTTCTTTCTTTCTTTTTTTTTTTTTTGGTGTCGGGCTGTGGTTTAACAGCTACTTGTGAAAGCAAAGAACTGGTTGAGATCAGGGTTCAGCCTACAAGGTCTTTCATGTTTAAGAGTGGCCAAGAGGGGGCTTTGACTCCATGGGAAATTCTTCAAATTTTGGACTGCTTTTGCCAAATGTCTTTCTTATCTTCTAGAGTTCTAGTAGGTATGAATGAACACATATGTTCTCCAAATCCTGTTCCAACACCTGGTTGTATAGGGTAGTGGTTATAACTTCTGGTTTTAGACTCAGCTGAGTTGAAATCTTGGTACAATTGCTTGCTAGCTGAGGTGTTATTAGTTCTGCAGAGGAGATGCTCTTAGTTCTATAGATGATTCCGTTCTAAATGGCCATAACATTTTTCTTCTGAAATGAACAAACAAAAGGTAATGATAATCCTTCCCCCTTCCAGAGTTAATGACAATACCTGCTATTTATTGAGTAATTATTACAAGCCAGGCATTGTAAGAAGAGTTTTTATGGGCCAGGAACGTAGCTCAGTCAGTGGTAGAGCACTTGCTTACCATGTCCCATTCTTAGTACCCCCCCCCCAAAGAGTTTTTAAAGGCAGTTTAATTAAGCCTCACAAAAAACTTACAAGGCAGATTCTGTTATTGCCTTTGATTTACATCTGAGGAAGCTAACGAATCAAGGTACTCCTAGCTCACAATTTTAACCCCACCCCGCCAATATGCCCCAGATTTAATAAAACATAATAATTATTTAGGGATCAGTGTGTACCAGGCTCTGTATCAAGTGGTCTTGAGATAGATATTAGTTTTATCCTTCCCCTCTTTATTTTTACAGTTGAAGAAACTGAGGCACAAAGCCCCAGATCAAATAACTAGTAGATCCTCCTTTTGAACTAGACAGTCCCTCACTGGAGTTGGTATTCTTAGCCACTCCCCTATGAATGACTGTAAAGGACTTCCCAGGGCAAGGGCAACTCTTATTGGTACTTCCATTTATTTTCCCTAAGTAACCACTCCCCACTCCCAGTTTCTGCAGAGGAGATGCGCTTAGTTCTGTAGATGATTCCGTTCTAATTAAGACTTTGTGATTACATACTTTTTTTTTATTGTTGTTGATGTTGTATTTTGTTTTTAAAAGCCAATGGTAGGCCTTGGGTATCTTGACTCTGGGGATACAGAGATAGGTTTTATGGAGTCTGTGACCACTACCCTGCAAATGTGTGATTCCTTTTAAAAATTTTTTATATGGCCAGGTGTGTTGGCGAATGCCTGTAATCCCAGCAGCTGGGGAGGCTGAGACAGCAGGATTTCGAGTTCAAAGTCAGTCTCAGCAAAGATGAGGCAGCTAACCAACTCGGTGAGACCCGGTCTCTAAATAAAATACAAAATAGGGCTGGGAATGTGGCTCAGTGGTCAAGTGCCCTGAGTTTAATCCCTGGTACAAAAAAAAAATTTTTTTTTATATGATCTGATGTTTACATACAAAAGTGTATTATTCTAGAGGAGAGGATCCATAACTTCAGATCCTAAAAGGGTCACTTGTTATTGGAAAGACATGTTAGTAATGACTTGTGTTCCACTTATCTCAGTTTATAAGTGAGGCAACTGAGGTCTAGTGGATCGACAGAATAACTTAATCTGAATTATGCAGCTAATTAGAGGTGGACATGGGACTCACACTCAGTTCTTCTGGCTTCTAATCTCATATTCTCCCTATAGCACCCCCATCAAGGTGAGGAATGGTCTCTGCTTGAGTGAGGGACCCGTCCTCAGAATTTCTAGGTGAATATTCATTCCCAGCTATTTTTTCTAATAATTTCAAAGATTTGTTCCAGCCCCCACTCCTGAAGGCAGGAATTGTATGTGTTAAGAAAATTGCTTAAGGGCTGGTGATGTGGCTCAAGCGGTCGCGCGCTCGCCTGGCATGCGTGTGGCCCGGGTTTGATCCTCAGCACCACATACAAACTAAAAAATAAATATTAAAAAAAAAATTCTCTCTCTCTCTCTGTCTCTCTCTAAAAAAACAAAAAAGAAAATTACTTAAAGCAGAAGGTCATTTACCCTAGATTATGTGGCCTTCAAGCACTTAAAAACAATTAGCATTTGTTACTCAGTTAAATTTTATTTCCTAGGTATAAGGCAAAACTAATTTTGCCCCCTCCATGAATGTCTACCATTAACAGTCCATGTCTCCTGCTCTTGTATAGCTTAGAGATGTCTATATTCTCTTGCATTCTTGAAATCTGGCAGGTTAACAGTGGAATTTATATTGAACTACATATGTAGATGGTCTTGATTCTTTATCCCCCCCCCTGCCCGCCAGGGAGTCTGGATCTTGGGAAAATAAGAAGGGAGCCAGGTACAGTGGCACATGCCTGTAATCTTACCGATTTGGGAAGCTGAGGCCTGAGGATTGCAAGTTTGAGGCCAGTCTGGGCAACTGAGTGAAAACCTGTCTCAAAACAAGCAAACATAAAAAGGTCTGGGGATATAATTCAGTGGTAGAGTGCTCCTGGGTAAATCCCCAGTACTGGGGGGAAAAATAAGAAAGGAAAGTCTTGAGCACTCTTCTGATTCAGGCTGGAAATTTCCTACTATATCCCTAATGGCTACCAAGGTACCCTCTATTAGGAAGCTCTGGTTTTCTGGGGATGGAAGAACAGAAAAGGGGGTGAGGGAAATAACAGAGGGCACCAAAGGCCAGAGACAAGGAGCAGCATAGAGCTTTCTGACTTGCTTCCAGGAACATTTTGTTTGTTTGTCATGATGCCATGTTTTAGGAAAGAGATGGGGACACCTATTCAGTACTCACCATGTACCACACACTGCCCTGGGCATTGATTTATATTATCTCATTTAGTCCTGTGAAATAGGAATTGTAGTCATTTTCTATGGTTCAGAGAGATTTTATAACTTGAACAGGTGGAGGTAATAGAAATTGAAGCCATAGTTATTTACATACCCATTTTTTTTCCAGCCCTCAATTTTAAAATTTCCACCATTGTGTTTGCTTTTGGAGCCAAGATGGCTCTCTCTCTGATATCACTATTAAGGGGATTTTTTTTTTGATACTGGGGATTGTACCCAGGGGTACTCTACCACTGAGCTAAATTCCCAGCTCTTTATATATTTTATTTTGAGACAGAGTCTTAATATGTTGCTCTCAAATTTGGGATTCTCCTGCTTCAGCCTCCTGTCACTAGAATTACAGGTGTGTACCACTGTATCCACCTTAGGGGATTTTTTTTTTTGTACTAGGAATTGAACCAAGGGGTACTTTATTGCTGAGCTACATC